CCTGACAGCATGCTGGATCCCTGACTGGTTACAGCCCTGAAACACAGTTTGTTCACACATCTTCAACTTTAAATCTTCTTTCACAGTCATGAAACTTGTACGTTTCATTTGAATAATAAAGTCTTATCTTGTTTGAAACAAACAAAGACTCAGTTAACACAGGTACACAATAAAAGTCGGTGGCTTCTTCTCACTTAAAGGTCTTTGAAAATTTGAGAAAAAGTATTTAAGGCGCTTTTATGTTGCTGATTCAGCTGTCATGTCTTAACTTTGCAGTGCAAAATCCATGTGTTCTTTTTGATTTTCTTTCTCCTTTTATTTCTTATTGCAGAAAGTACACAGCAGAGCAGCAAGTTATTTTTCTTTAAATGAGCAACGCAAGAAAAACAAATGTTTGATTGACTCWTTTCTATCAAACTTACATTGAATGTTTTTTACAAAAGAGAAAACAGACATGCTTAAACACATTACAATATTATAAGGCATTGCTCTCTGTTTGTGTTCTAAATTACTATTTATTAAAATGTCTCAATTAATATAGTAACACACGTAATAAAACACAGTCCTAAAGCCCGGACCATGCACTGAGTCACATCTGACCTGTTAACAAACTGAAGTCTCACCTGAAAGCCACACTTTAGGCATACAAGGATGTCATGGGATGCTGCCGGCTCTCCATCGATCATCGTCCTCTCCTTCAGGCACTCCGAACACACCAWCCACACACTCGACAGGACTGACTTCTTCACCGAGCTCAGGTCCACAGCTTTGTTTACGTGCTGACATGTCAGTCCTGCATAACACAGATTTTTCAAATCACTTTTTTAAAACAATGACACACTGCATGTTCTCTGTGAGAAATAACTCAACTCCTGCATTTACAAAACCAATAAAAATTTACAAATACAACACCACTGTTCAGTTAAAGGCATTGCTGAGTTTATTTAGTAAAGTACTATAAGAAACTGAAATATATTTACTAGGGGTGCAACAATACATGTATCTGTACAATTCAAAACACACTATGTAAACAATACAGATTTTAAAATGCATTTTACAACTTGTCTTCTGAAGATGCTCTGTGTTGAAGGCTCAGTGGATCTGTGATCCACTGCTCCACCTAGGCTGCAACGTTGAGCTCAGATTCACTGAGAAACTTTGTTTCAGCAACATTTAATTTAAAAACTGGACTTTTGAGGTTAAACAAATGTTCATAATTAATTTCAATAAATTGCAAGTTAAGATGGGCATGGACATTTCTCTTTTTTGTATCAAAAAAATATTGAACTGTGACACCAAAATATCGAATTGAACTGAATCGGGACTMTTCTGTATCGTTGCACCCCTAATATTTACATGACAGTGTTTACACAAATATAAGGGCTGTGAATATTGCACACTTTATTTTCTTACATTTGTTGGGGTCAAAGTCTGAAACTTAAACCAAGTTCTTGTTCTACAATATTTTAATTTAGTACTAAAGGGTAGAATCTGCAGTATCAACCAATGGTCTGAATGTGAAGAAAACAGAACAAGCATAAAATTAAGTCAAAAACAATTAGGCCAATTTAGTATTTATATTTGTAACAGACTTAATAGCTTAAACACGCAGCAGCCATTTATTTTACAAAATCTTGCCAGCATTAAGTAATAGAAAAAAAAACATGTTTTTTGAGCTCCAACAAATCAAAATTCCTGACAAAAATTAAGACTGATGTCCTCTCTTAACAGTGCTGCCAATTTAAATATTGGAGCTAATAAAACTGCAGAAAAAAGTGCGTAACTTATGTAACAATAAAATGTAAGCTTTGCACACGAGCACTGCATATATAAAAACGTATCTGAGACAAAAAAATACAGTATTTATACACACTCCTATACAGAACTTCAAATCTTTCCTCAATAGAGGTCACACACACTCAGTGTTATCTACATAACTGTTCGCACAAACATATCAAAAACAATCATTAACCACAAAAAGATTTCCCTTACCCAGGCAAAACCCAATGAGACCACAGATCTCTTTTTCAAGAGAGGCCTGGGCCTGAACAATTACATGGGTTACATTCAGCTTCTTTTACTCCTGCAGAATCTAAAACGGGACCAAACTCTGGCCTTCACTAAAAACAGGGATGACAGCATGTTCTCCTGAATTTTATCCTTCTTCATGACAATCAAAGCCCATATATTCAACAATTGCTCCATATTAGTCAAGTAGTCACAACATTATGGTTAATTGATGTATGTTAATCAAAACTAACATTCATAAAGACTGACATACCAAGCTGTCTAGATTTAATAGTTTCTTGCTTTTGACTCACCACTGACTTCATCTGATGACTCCTCATCTCGAGGTTTTCTTGGTTTATTAGTCCGCTTTGTCATGTCGGCGGCTTTCAAAGAAAAAGGATCTTTTAGCCGCATCTGGAGCTCTGACAGGAGAACAGAAAACAAAGTAAGGTTTCTGTTTCTCCGGAGCAAAGTTATTTACACAGAGGGTCACTGAAATAATCAATTATCCTTTTAAAACACTTGCAGTTTAATCTAAAAGTAATTACACAAACACAAATATTTTAACCAGACTTCCAGAAGCGGATTAAAATTAAGACATAAACCTTGAGTTTATCTTAAACATTTACAGAAGACGTTTATATTCATAACAAATAACTGGAAGCAATGAGGCGGTATCATATATCTGTGATATCAGATCACTGGAAATAAATGGACATTTTGACTGAAATAAAACTAGAAACCATCTTGTGAGTACAATTAATCAAATTTGATAATGACTAACAGTCTGAAATTTTGTAATTTTATTAACAACATACTTTGGATAAGCTGGAGAGTAAAATACCAACCCATAATCAAAACTGTTTTCACTTCATCTAAACTCGAATTAACCTGATCAATTCATCAATCAGTAAATAGTTTCTGTTTTCAGTCGCGGTTGAAAATATCTTAAACTAAAGAAAAAAGTTCAATTTGGTTTCAGGGTAAAACTAAGACTGAATTAAAATGCGTATTTTGTAACATTCAGTGTTGAAAATTTTAGAAAATCAGACATCAACCTTCCCCAGAGTGGATGTGCTTAGCATTAGTTAAATAATGATGTATGAGAAAAATGAACACTGTTAACACTAAAAACTATAACATTTGACTTGACAACGCATCTCGCACACCCTATGCAAACATTTAAGGACTGAATTTTGTAAATTAATCGGACACTTTGATGAAACAGGATACGTGCCAAGCTAGACGGAACTGTCAAGAAATTAAAAAGAAAAAATTGTAAAGGTCCTCTGGACGGGTTCTTCTCTAATGAAACGTTTCGTCTCTYCTCCAAGAGACTTCTTCAGTCTGAGAGTTTCAGGCAAAATTCAGGACTTTAAGCCCTGAAGACCCCAAGCCAGTGGTTATTCCGTATGTTGCGGGTGTTTTGGAGAAACTGAGGCGTTTATTTTCTAAACATGATGTCCCAGTGGCTTTCAAACCCCAAAACACATTACGGCAAAGGCTGGTTCACCCCAAAGATCCGGTGCCCCGGCACAAACAGAGCAATATTGTATATGCTGTTAAGTGCCAGGAGGACTGCGACCAGTTATACATCGGGGAAACAAAGCAGCCACTGTTCAAAAGAATGTCCCAACACAGACGAGCTACGTCTAATGGCCAGAACTCTGCAGTTTTCACTCATTTACAGGCCAGCGGTCACTCTTTCAGAGATGAGGATGTTCTCATTCTTGATAGAGAGGAACGTTGGTTTGAGAGAGGAGTAAAAGAAGCCATTTTTGTGAAGAAAGACCGTCCATCATTAAACAGAGGTGGGGGGCTCCGTTTTCAGTTGTCCCCCTCCTACAGTGCTGCTATTGCCAGTATCACTCCACCCCCTGTTAACAATAGGTGTTAATTAGGTGTCAACGATAGCCATGTGATGTGAGTATCAGTCACATGGAAGCAGGGCTTAAAAGCCTGAATTTTGCCTGAAACTCTCAGAATGAAGAAGTCTCTTGGAAGAGAGACTAAACGTTTCATTAGAGAAGAACCCGTCCAGAAAACCTATACAATTTTTTTTATTTTTGATTTTTTACCTGGATTACTGAGATGCATCAGGACATGTCGAGAAATTACGCAGTAAAGTAGGAGGCCTGAGTAGTGCAGGTTTTGTAAGGACCACTTTTTAAAATAATTTCAACAAACTACAGAAATCTATTTTAACATTTGCAGGAGGCAGAAATACTTTAAGAACGTACCTCTTTAAACTCGCTCCTAATGTCTGTTTTAGATGATATGACACACGCCAACAGTGAGATGTCAACTCTTCCTGGTTAGCAAACGGGCTAGCTCCATTAACAAGTCGCAACAAATACAATCATAAATAAGAGTTTCATCAAGCCGAAAATGTCATATTAAGACATTTCGTAATACGAAGTACAAACAACCAAGAAATAGTTATCACAGTGGGTTCTTCGTTATAGCATTTCACGGAAAATAATTGTCAAAACTAGCGACAGCATTAAATAGCAACACAAGTCAACATGTGACGCACTACGGCAAGCCAGAAGGGTTTAACGTTGCATTCAGGTCCCATTGGAAATATTTTATTCAAGGTACTACAGCGTTACAGGCTCTGGGTAACACTTTAGGGATTTTTTTTTTCAGTGCAATAAATGGATAAAAATAAACACAAAAACTAAAAAAAATACTTTAGTTTTCAATTTAATAGTAAGACGATGAAAACTTCCACAAATGGCAGAATTGTGACTACAGCGTATGTCTATTGTTAATGCAGTAAGTTCTATTTTGAGTTACTTCTGTCTGATAACATTGAGAGTAAGGACAGTAGGCTTACTGTCTACTCGGAAATTCACAGTCTACTCATTTCCATACATATCTAAACGCCTTCGCATTCGGAAATGCTTTCATGAAATAATGTTGTGTGTAATAAAGTTTTTGTCCATGAAGGGGTCCGTGTTTTTGCGCATGCGCAGCTGGATTTAAAGGGCACTTGTGGGTTGTACTTATTTATTTATTTTATTACGTGTCAAGGAGCAAGTTTCACATGGGATTGGAGTGATTACACATGGCGCTTAGAAGGTGCTGTAGGTTCGCTGGTTCTGTCCCTCGACTTTTGTGGTCCTGGTCCAGTTCCGTCCCGCCCAGGACTTATTCTGCTGTAGGACGATGCGCTCTGTCCAGCTTTGTCAACACTTACCAAGGTTACAAAAGTGAGTTTCGCGGCGAGTGGCTCGCTGTCAGTGTCATTCATATAAGGCAATTCGTAGTCTGAGCTTGTCGCTTGTGTTGTAGGCACAGAGCTGCAGCTCCGCAGGTTCAGCTCACAACAACAACCACCGAGCACGGAAGTGACTTATGATCAGCTGAAGAAGCTCCTGTCTGAGCAGAAAACTGTGGTTATAGATGTCCGGGAGCCCTGGGAGCTCAGAGAGTACGGCTTTATCCCCGGATCTATTAATGTGCCCTGTGAGTCGTCAATTCCTTGCTTTAACTATTTAAAATTGAACAGAAAGAATACATTACCGTGCTGTGGTCAGTGATTTGTAAACTACTGAAGATTATTAGGGCCACAGAGCCCAGTTTTTATTTTTATTTTCTCTCAGAATGGTGACTTTAATTTCAGAATTCTAAGATAAAAACCAGAATTGTGAATATTTTCCCAATTCTGAGGTTAAAGTAAAATAAAAGACTCAAGACACCCCCCCCCTCCCCGCCCAACACACACACACCTAATCATATTGCTTACTGAAGCTATGTTGAATAAAGTTGTTAGAATATTGCTACAATATTTTGGCACCACAGTAGTTTTTGTGATTAGTTCTTTTGATGCCATACTGGGATCTCCTAACCTGTTTGCGACTCTTTCACTTCACAGTGGGACAAATGAACACTGCTCTCCAACTGGACCCAGAGGAGTTCAGGGAGAAGTATGACGGTGAAATGCCCCTGCAGACGGATAACATTGTGTTCATTTGTCTGGCAGGGGTCAGGAGTAAAACCGCTGTCAACACAGCCACCTCTTTGGGATATAAAGAGTGAGTGTCGTCGTCATAAAGCCGAACAGAAATCTGCTAATACAACATGGCCTTTGTAAAAAACTTGTGACTTGCTTAGGTTAAAGATTTCAGTTTAAAAAGAAGTTTCACCCAAGACAGCATTYATAGTAGACGACCGTGGCGGATCTAGGATTTTTCAGTGTAAGGGGCCATCAAGGGGCCACAATATTCATAGAGGGGTCAAGTATTTGTTCGACATGCTTGCATACAAATCCCCAGTTTTTGTAAGGTTTATTTAATTAAAATTAATTAAATTAATTAATTTAATTTTAATTAATTAATTTTAAAATTTTAATCAGTCACATGTGCTCAAACACTTGTAAAAGCTTGCAGAGTAAATTTTCCTTGTCAATTTTACATGATTTTTTTTACTGTAAATAAATAAAATATTCTCAAACACACAACATGAAAGAAAATCTAGCCATTGTTGTCAGTAAAAAAAGTTTTTTTTTTCTGCAGGATTGTTTGAATTGAAAAAGACCTACAAATTTGCTTCATGTTTAGACTTTCTTATTTGACTCACTGGCGCTACTAGTGGTTGGAAGTGGAACTGCAGCCACCATCATTGTTCTTGGGCAAGGACAGATGAATGAAAGGAAAGGGGCACTTCAGGGGCCCAATCAGATTTCAGATGGGGYCAATGCCCCTGTGGCCCCACCCCTAGAACCGCACCTGGTAGACGGTCTTTTGCTCTGCTGGTACATAATGTCCTCTCATGACACATGGTACACAGTCCCTTATTTTGTTTTCATATGTAGCTAGAAATTAGAGCAAAACTCTACTTGGTAGATAATTTGATAAATGGATTCTTTTTATCATTTAAAGGAGATATCCTGCTTTTAAATCCTTCTTTTCCACATGAAATCCTTTTGTTGGGGTCTATGTAAAGTGGAACTGCAATACTTTGGTCTGAATTCCTCCTAATTGTAGTTCCACAAGCCCAGCCCCTTTTCTGAGTTGTGTCTCAGATCAACTCGTTTTGAGGCTGTCTCTTTAAATCCAAACAAGGCGCTTCAAGCCCCGCCCCCTCCAGCTTCCAGAGCGGTCCATTTCAATTTGATAGAGGGTTTTATGACTATATAGCTGCGCAGTAACATTTATCTACAAGTGAATTAAAAGATGTGAACAAGTAAAGACTTGTCCATCCAGCCTGACATGTTGGAGCCAGAATCTGACCCAGAACCAGAAGAAAATGAAGACCACCTAATTGTAGTTGGGAAGACCAGACCTTATGGCAGTTCTGTTGCAAATACTGTGATGTAATAGTTCAGAAAACATCATAAAAACATAGAGAAAACAGAACAGGTTAAAATATACGACTTAAACAGAATATAAAGATATCCATACAGCACCAGGAGAGACTACATTCAACTTTTCTACCTCCTATAGACTCCAAGTACACAACAAAATGTATTTAATGGCTAAAAAAGTGGATTGTCCTCTTTAACTCAAATGTGAACATAATACCACATTTAAAAATATTGACTATACATTATTAGTAACATTTAAGTCGTGTCTAAAGACTGACTTCAGGATGAGCAGTCAGTCATGGATAGTAGATTGATGGATGGAATGACTGAATAATCGATACTAATGAACAGCATCCTCACAGCATGATGTCACCACCATGCTTCGCTGTAGGATGGAGGTTCTCAGCATGATGAAAGCTCCCCAGTTCAGTGTGGGGTGTTTTTGGTATGTTGGTATTTTTAAATAAAACAAGTATGTAATCAACGTGGTCATTCACAACTCCACCCTCTGCTCACTGATTGGCCTGGTTGGAATTAGAGAAATTCATGTCAGTGGGAGAAAGCCCAGACAGAGCAGTAAAGGGAGATTTGAATCGAGCGGGATTGAGTAGAAAGGTAAGGGCCAGGCTAATTCTGTGTAGGTTTTTATTGATATCAATTGAAATTTCAGGTTTTCAGGCAATAACGTGGGAAAAATACCAAATCGGTGAACGTTTTGCACTGTACACATTCACTAACAGTTTATTAACTTTGTGCATCTGTGTTTTTCAGTGTTCAGCATTACCCTGGTGGATGGTATGAGTGGGCAGAATATGAACAAGACAAGTGATCCATGAATTTTGGAGCAGAAATGAAACATGAGATAAATTAACGGCTTTATTGTCCAACAGTGAGCACCTAAACACTTTCAGTGCTTTGTTTCATAAACCTCAGGAACTCTGCTTTAGTGATGGATCAGCTTTCAGTAAATGATCCACAGCAGATACCTTCAGTGCCAAGCTTCTGGGAGCATTAGTGACGTTTTATTCAGTGTTCTTTGATGTGTTTCATTAAATTGAGACAAACTTCCTTGAAATCTTTTAAATTGGTCACGAGCAATGTTTTTTAAAGTGTTTTTTCAAAGTCTACAAAATTACAGGAAAGTTTACCTCATCTAAAGAAATTAGGGTTAGTAAAAAAATTGATGGATATTTATGCTATGAGAATATAATCCTGAATAATCCTCAGCCATAGAAAAATAGATACAACATACTGATTTAAAATTAATTCCCAGAGACCTTTCACCTTTTGAAACTTTCTGGATTGCCACAGTTAATGGTTTTGTTTGTGTTCTCTGCCTCAGATTTTTGTTTCCTGTTTGCAACAGTTACCTAATTTTCTTTTATTTTTTGACAATTTAATCAGGACCTGTGTTTCGCAAACTTCTTAGGTAGGTTGGAATTTTAGACTTCAGTGCTGAGAAGTTCTTAAATTTGCTCTTACTTTCAGACTTTAGTGTAAATGTCAGTTATCAAAATTCTTAAGTCTGAGAATCACTTTTGCTCCCTCAGATACTTAAGACTGCTCCAGAGGTTTCTCAACTGGTTAAGAGTTGCCACTAGGGGTCTGAGAAGACAGAGATCTGGGCCCATATTTGTAAAACTTCTTAGAATTAATCTTAAGAATGCTGCTAAGAGTGGACTTAAGTGTAAAATAATTTCTTAGTTAAAAGCTGAGAGTAAAAGTCATTTACCAAGCATCTCAGTCTTACTTTAAGTGAAGTGTAGGAGTAATTCTTAAGTGTCAGTCTTAGAGCTGAT